TATCCCCAGGAGGTTTTGGGGTGTTGGTGGTGCTGGGGTCAGCTCCATCCCCAGAGGGTTTTGGGGTGTTGGTGGTCCTGGGCCCAGTTCCATCCCCAGGGGGGTTTTGGGGTGTTGGTGGTGCTGGGCCCAGCTCCATCCCCAGGAGGGTTTTGGGGTGTTGGTGGTCCTGGGGCCAGCTCCATCCCCAGAGGGTTTGGGGTGTTGATGGTCTTGGGGCCAGCTCCATCACCTGAAGGTTTGGGGTGTTGGTGGTCTTGGGGTCAGCTCCATCCGCTGGAGGGTTTGGGGTGTTGGTGGTCCTGGGACCAGCTCCATCCCCAGGAGGATTTGGGGTGTTGGTGGTGCTGGGGTCAGCTTCATCCTGAGGAGGGTTTTGGGGTGTTCATGATCGCAGGGCCAGCTCCAAATTCAGGGTGTTTTGGGGCACTGGTGGACCTCTGACCCCCAGGAGGGTTTGGGGATCCCCTGCTCTGTATCACCCATCCCTGTCCACCCCCAAGTGCAGGGTCCTCAGGCCCTGTGACACCAGGTAATGCCACAGCATGGGCTGAGGACAGGGTTGGGGACAGGACTGGGGACAATGGGGCTCCCTCCCTGCCCGCCTGCTCCCCACAGATATCCTGCAGAAGGTCACCATTGGCACCAAGGAGCAATCCGGCTTCACCAAGGCCACCAAGAGGACCGACTCCTTCCTGCCACCTCTGCCAATCCGGCAGGGCCAGCCCGTGAGCACCCACCCCACTGTGTCCTCTGTCCCCCCCCAGTGCCCTCCACCCCCTTTTGCACCCCATAGGACACTTCTTCTCTCCCATAGCTCAGCGTTAGCCTCACCACAAGGGATTACGTGCCCTCTGTGCACAGCCACGTGAGTGGGGCGAGGGGCCGGGGTGCTGAGGTGCCACCCCAGTGAGGTGCCACCACGTCCCACCATCCCATTCCATCCTCCTGCAGGGCAGGGAGACGCTCCCAACGCTGCCACCAGGCTCTGAGCGAGGCAAGGGACGTAGCTGCCTGGGCACGGTGTTGAGCAGGATCCTGTCCCATTGTCCATCCCCATCCCTCTGTGTCCTCCTCATCCTCACCCGCTGTCCCCACACAGGGCTTGCCCGCGCTGGGACACTCGGTGTCCCTCATCTCCCGAGGGCTGGAGGCAACCCGAGAGAGCCAGGCCAGGCTGCTGGGGCAGCAGGCTGCTGGCAGGATGGTGGGTGCATGGCCCCATCCTTATCCCCATCCCATGGGAACATATTCCCAGCTCATCTCCATCCCATAGGAACCGTCAGGGTACACCACTAACTACGGCCAGTACGTGACCCACCGCCTAAGCCCGTCCCCTGTGCCACCAGGTGAGTTTGGGGTGGCCATGGGGGGGGTTTGCAGCCCCCAAAGAGGGGTTGCCAGCCTCACCACTCCATCTCTCCATGGTATTCCAGCAACCTGGATAGCGAGACCCATTGGTGGAATCCAGCCCCAGCGTCCCAGTGGCTTCGGCCCGAACCACCACCCCACTGTGATGGCACTTGCCACCTCCTGGTGTGACACCCCCCATTGTCCCAGCCTTGGGGGTAACCCCAACTTCATTGGGGACCCCCAAATCCCTGGAAGTTTCCCTTCCTCCCATATGGAGGAATAAAGACTCCAAAGCAACTTTCCTGGGCATAATGTCACTGCCATTGTCACCCCCATGGAGGGGTGGTGGCTGCCCACAGGCCTTATACTGGGGGCTGTCTGCACCCCAAAGGTGGGCAGGAG